TTTTTTTTAAGTGATTGCCCTGGAGACTACAATTAGCATTTTTGTTTTTGTTTTTTGAGACAGGGCCTTGCTCTGTCACCTGGGCTGGAATGCAGTGATGTCATCACAGCTCACAGCAACCTCCAACTCCTGGGCTCAAGTGATGCTCCTGCCTCAGCCTCCCGAGTAGCTAGGACTGCAGGCGCCACTACCATGCCTAATTTTTTTAGTTTTTTGTAAAGTCGTTGCCAAGGCTGTTCTCAAACTCCTGGCCTCAAGCAGCCCTTCTGCCTCAGCTTCCCAAGTGCTGGGATTATAGGCCTGCGCCACCACACCTGGCCAGACTGTTGTTTTCTCTATGCTTTTTCTCTGTTTTGCAAATAATCTGTGATGAACTTGTGTTACTCCTGTAGCCAAGGAACACTGTGTAACGCGAGTCACAGTCCCTGAGTGGTGGTGTTGCAAGTCCGGTTTAGGCTCAGTCCACGTTCCCGTGGCCCTCCTGACCTAGGAGGGCAGTGGCTGACAGTGGCCGGCAGACCAGCCTTTGACAGAAAGCCTGAACTGGTGGGGAAACCACTGGGATTCTTCCACCCTTTGGTCACAGAGGACAGGCCGGCCTTGTCCACGGAAGTGTCCCTGTGGCCGCTGTCCCGGGATGTAGTCTGTGCACGCGGGCAGTGAGAGTGTGGAGGGCGATGTGAGCCCGCCGCCTCCTGATGTCACCCAGGGGCTGACGTGCCTGAGCCCAGCGGGAGGCCCGGTCGCAGGTGCATCTCGGGGTTCCGGGTTTCTCTCCGTGTCTGTCAATTCCAACTCCCGGGAGGGGCCTCTGTCTTCCCCACGCTGTGGCTTTCAGGCAAGACCCCACGCACACAGCTCCCCTTGTTTTCATGCACCTCACAGCGTCCTCCGGGGGGCGAGGCTTAGGGGCCGCAGACTGTGAGGCGCCTTCACACCCCCTGGTTTGTGGACACCGAGGCTGAGCCCAGGTGTCCCGGGCCCAGGACCCCCAGGGCAGGCCCACTGGGGCGTGCGCCTTGGGTCTCATGATTCCAGGAGACGCTGTTGTGTCAACAGATGCAGCCATGGGACCTACCTGGACTGGGAGGAGGGCGGAGGGTACCAGGCCCCACGGGTGGAGTCACTGGGCGTCCAGCTGCACTCGGGCCCTCGGCCTCCGCCTGGCTGGTGGGGTGTAGACGTTAAGGCGGTGCAGGCCAGGACTCCACTGTGATACACAGTGCCACGTGGGGCCCTGCCCTGGAGCCTCTGGGCCCCCATCTGGGTCTGCAGAGCTTGGAGAGGAAGCCTGGCCCTCTTGGCTCCTCAGAGGGAAGCCGGGGGGTGTCGTGCGAGAGCCCCTGTGTGGTTCTTTGAAATCCCCGCCAGGGCTGGTCGGAGAGCCCCTCCCGTGTGTCTGCAGTGGTGGCCAGCCAGATGCCAGCCTTGCTCTGGGAGTGGGAGTTTTTCTTTCAGTAATGGCTTTATTGACATAATTCACATGCTGCACAAAAACCCATTTTGAGTGTAGAATTCAACGGTTTTTAGTGCATTCAGAGTTTGCAGGCATTACCGTAATCTAACTCCAAAACTTTTCCATCACCCTGAAAAGAAACTCCGTGCACATTAGGCAGTCACTGCCTGTTCCCCACATCCCCGGCCCCTGGCAACCACTGATCCGTGTCTGTCTGTGTGGATTTGCCTGTTCTGGGCGCTCCGTGTAGACCAGCTCATATAGCACGTGGCCTCGTGCGTCTGGCTACGTTTGCTGAGCGTGTTTTGAGGCTCGTTCCTGCTGTAGCAGGCATCAGCGCCTTGTCCCTAGTTAGGGCTGAGTGACGTTCCCTTGTGTGGACGGACCATGCTGTCATCCGTCCGTCTGTCCTCGCCTATTGGCCGCTCTCCCCACCAGGCTGCTGTGGGTGATGCTCCTGTGAACACCCGCATACAAGCATCCATGTGGACGTGTTTCCATCTCGGGCCTGTACCTAGGAGTGGAATTGCTGGGACAGAGGGTTGGGAGTTGAACTTTTATCAAAGCAACACACTCTTGGTTTAGAAGGAGTCGGTTCTTTCCCCACCCTCGGCGCTGTGCCCAGGCCCCGCTTCCGGAGGCAGCTCCCAGGCTGGTGTCCTGGTGTCTGCTGCCATGTGTCTGAAAAGGCAGTTTTATGCTGTTTCTTTCCCCACTTTTTAAAATTTTAGACATTGTGTAATGGATTCTTGTAGAAGGGTTTGGGTTTAGCTTTCTTATACTGTCCCCCTGCCCTACTCACTATAATTAGCACAATTGTTGCTTAAATCAGTATATGGTGTTTGTATGATGATGCTATAAATCCTTTTCAGGCTAAGACATATAGAATATTATGATTACTTTTTTTTTTTTTACAGCTTTATTGAGAGGTAATTGAAGTACAGTAAATTGCACATACTTAAGCATATAACACAGGTGCGGCGGCTTCAGGCCTGTAATCCACGCTTTGGGAGGCGGAGGCCGCAGGATCACTTGAGCCTGGGAGTTGGAGGCTGCAGCGAGCTGTGATCATGCCACTGCACTCCAGCCTGGGCGACAGAGCAAGACCTCATCTCTGTAAAAAAAAAAATGTGTGTAACTTGATGGGTTTTGACATGCGTGTACACCTGTGAAGCCGTTGCCATGGTCAGTGACCTTGCCCGTCCCTGGGCCCCTCCCTCGAGCTGGGGAGCTCCCTCCCCATCTCCAGGCAACCACGGATGCGCTTTCTGTCACTGTAGTTGAGCGAGCATTTGCTGGAGTTTTATGTAAATGGAATCACGCAGTATGCATTCTGTTTTTGTCTGGCTTTCGATCTGCATAATTATTTCAGGATTCATCTGTGGTGTTGTGTGTATCGATGTTACGTTTTACTGCTGGTCGTGTTCCATTGTGTGCACCTGCCACAGTTTGTTTGTACGCTCATCTGTTGGTGGACGTTTGGGTTGTTTTTAGTTTTGGGTGTTGCCAAATTTGCACTTCTCTGATTAGTGAATGGCGTTGATCGTCTTTTCGTGCGATCATTTGCCGCGTTTACCTTCTTTAGTGAGTGTCCGAGTCTTTCCATCTGCATTTTATTTGCGTTTGTGTCTTGTTGAGTTACACGGGTTGTCTCTGTCCCAGACAGAAGTCCTTGATCAGGTGTATATTTCGCAAGTACTTTTCCCTACTCTGGTTGGCCTTTCATTTTTGCGATGGTGTTTTTAGAACAAAAGTATTGTATTTGATGTTAATGAAGTCCTGTCAGCTGGGTGTTTTTGGTGTTACGGTTCATGGGTTTCGTTGCTGTGGCTCTGATTATGATTTTTATTACGATGACTTTGTTTTTTCCGGGGTTAATAATCGTCTCACTTCTTTATTTGTATCATTTTTTGACAGACTGTCATTCATTTTTCCAAACCCCCCAGACAGAGGTCACAGACTTTTTTGCTGTCATCTCAGTCTGTCTCTTCTCTGGAGTGCGGGGTCCTGCTCCACCTGCTGGGACCCCGTTGTGCCCCGTGTTTTCTGGGTCCTGCTTGGTATTACTGCCTCAGGTGAAATCTCTCTCCCGCCCCCCCAGCGCTAAACGGCAAGTGTTTATGGGCCGCGTGTGTCTGCAGGTATTTTCCTGCCCAGCACTGGCAGCTTAGGGGCTCGGAATTCCAGGTGGGAAAGAGCTTCTGTGCACCCACCCTCCGCCAGCTCCCAATGGGCTACTCAATGTCATTGTGATGCTGTTTTTAAATGTGAGTGGTTTTTGTTGTTGTGTTTTTTCCCAACCACGATAATGACTATTAATACATATGATGTGAGTGTTTTTGTTTTTCCCTCCCTGGAAGCTTTTGAGATCTTTGTCCTGGATGTTTTAAAATACCTGACAGTGTGGGGGCGGGGTGTGGGGACAGTGCAGATGAAGCCTCACCTGACAGTCCTGTGCTCAGCCTTGGGCTAGAGCTGGGGACTCCCCAGCCAGGAGAACTGGGGGCAGGGGGGGTGGAGGAAAGGGGCAGAGGTGTGAAGTGTCTGGAGTGGAGGAGGGTGGGTGGCAGGGCTTGGAGCAACCAGGGCCTGGTGGGAACTCTGGGCCTTGTGCCACCGCATGTTGGCCATGGGAAGATGGGCGTGTGCACCTGCTTTTCCACTCTCAGGATCTATCCATGTTGCCAGCAGCGGATACCTTCATTTCCACTGCTATGGAATATTCCAGACACACATATTTTAAACAGTTTGGTGCTCTGTTTTTTGTTGTTTTTTTTTTGAGACAGTCTTGCTCTGTCGCCTGGGCTAGAGTGCCGTGGCGTCAGCCTAGCTCACAGCAACCTCAGACTCCGGGGCTCAAGCGATCCTCCTGCCTCGGCCTCCCAGAGCGCCGGGATTACAGACGTGAGCCACCGCGCCCGGCCGGGTCTTGCTGTTCTGAGTGAGTTGGTCCACGGGAGCCACAGACCTGAGCTCTGTGCAGTAGCTTCCCCGTGGCCCTGGGCGTTGTGCAGCGGTCACCTGTGAAATGAGCGAAAGAGGCGCAGGTCTTGCTCCCCCAGATGGTGGCTGCCAGGTTCCTCCGTGTTTTTGCTCTCTGTGCTCGCAGGCCATGG